AGATGGGGTCTGCAGCAGGACCCCAGAGTGGAAGCTGGTATTCACTGTCTCGTTGGCTCTCTCCTTGCATGGGGTCTCTCCTATGCCAAGTGACATGGCCAAACCTCAGGCTAGCTGTGTGCATGCTGAAGACCTGGGGTGTAGAAGTGGCCATCGGTGCAAAAGGAAGCTCACAGCAGCAATTCAGATGGAGAAGTGGGGAGGAGACCAGGAGAATAGAACCCTGGGAATCCTAGGGTGTTCCAGTGAGGCAGATGGACTACCCTGTGGGTATGGGGTTGGGGCAAGAGTTATGGGAGTTGGTAATAGACAGGGCATCCCAATGGCTAGAGGCTGTGGACTCCCAGGCCTTGGTGGATACTGGGTCATTCTGAAAAACAATAAGAGGCCACGTGGTGATGATTTTAGTGAATGAAGGAAGTGGTGAGGGATTGTGCCAGGTACTCAGGGCCAAAAGCTAAGCTTGGGGAGGTTGGTTGAGGTTGGGGATTAGGGGTGTCCTAGTCTCAGTGAGGCACTAAGTTCAGAATTGTGGCACTGGGGATCAGGGATCATTGAGGGGATTAATGGCAGGCTCTAACTTGTCCATTTAAAAAAACAAAACAAAACATCATTCTCAGTGGTAGATGTGGGAGAGAATTGAGTCCTGAGTCTAGATTTGTGATCAAGACTGGGAAGATGGAAGCCAGTAATAGAAGGGCTCGGTGCCAAGAGAGATGCTACAAAATGCTTGAGAGGTCGGAGGTCATGTTCAGTGGTGTGGAGAGCAAGGGCTGGGGCTGGGGCTGGCCTGGAATGACCTGGGGGGTGGCTATGAGCTCCCACCCTGCCTTCATTGCCCACTTCCTGCAGAACTTCTTCTCTCTGTTAGTCTGTCTGTCAGGTGTCAGCCTGGGGCAGGGCTGGGCCGCCTGCAGGGACATGCAAGGTTGGCATGAGCCCTTAGAGACCGAGTCCTTGGGACATGGGCTACTGATGCCTGAGATTGGAGGTTGGCCAGACTGCAGTACAAGCCAACAGCAGGAAGGCCACAGCCAGTCTTCCCCGGGTGCTAATCTATCTTGTCTTCCTTTCTCCAGTCACACCCTCACCTGCTAAGGAGGGGAAGTGGGAGGAGTCCTCCCCTTACATACTTACACTCCCAGGGCTGGAGTCCTCCATATCCACCAGCTCCAGCTGAGTGACTGAAAGGTCTCAGTAGAAAGAGAGAAGTGACCTGGGCAGGTTTCTTGCCCCAACAGGGGAACTGGTGACATCCAGATACCAAGGCTCTGAGTGAGCACAGGAAACTGAGTGCTGCCTCTTCAGTGGGACTGGAGAGAAATGAGCATTGGAGCAGCCACCTCTTGTTACTGCAGCACTAGCTAGCCTATCCTGATGATACCAAGATACCAAGGAGACACTGTGTGTCCCCTCATCATGCTGTAACTAAGGAGTCCCACTAGGCCGTGATCCCTTTCCCCTCCAGATGCTATCTCAGCGCATGGACCAGGGCCACAGCTCCTGGGTTTCTTGAAGATGGCCTCTGTGAGCTCTGACAGCTGTGCAAACCTGTCAGAGTCTGGGAGCCTCACTTAGGCAAGGCTGAGATCTTGATCATATATGATGCTGTCACCTCTTCCCGCTCTTCAGCCTTTATTTATTTGCATGTGTGTGCACATATGCAGAGGGGTAGACACACATGTGTGCCAACCCTAGCTCACCCCTGGGTGTCATTTCTCAGGAGCTGTCTATCTTGTTTTTGAGACAGGGTCTGTCATTGAGTCGGAACTAAGTAAGCTAGGCTGTCTTACCAGCAAGCCCCAGGGATCTACCTGTCTCTGCCTCCCTAGTACTGTGATTAAAAGCCTGCAGGTTTTTATATGGCTTCTTGGGATCACATTCTAGTCTTCATGTTTGCATGGCAAGCAGTTTACTGACTGAGTCATCTACCAGACCATGAAACTTTCCATTCTAAGCGCTCTTTTCTCAGAGTCCACTGAGAGTCTTATCTTCCGGGAGTACAGAACCGTGTGTGTGTGTGTGTGTGTGTGTGTGTGTGTGTGTGTGACAATTTTCCCTCAATTCTCATGAGCTACAGCGTAGCTTTGCCCCTGGTTCCAATTCCAGGTCTCTCTCACAGGACCTCATTATTCTCTGCCCTCAGCTTCCTTCTGCAGTGGTTCCAACACGCCCAGCAGCATGGGCTGCCTCCATGGGGGGTGCCTGGCCCTCCCCAACCTCCCAGCCACTAACAAGCCATTGCTACTGCTGCCTGAGACAGGGCAGGATCCTGCTTGTTTTCAGGGAAATACCTGTGGAGCCTAGCTTGGCCTGGGGGTTGTGAACCACTCCTTTCCCAGGCAGTTGAGAGAGCTAGGTCTGCAGTCCACACCCCCAGCTACACAGAGAGCTGGAAGGGAGGACTTCCTGTCCTACCTACCTTCCCTCTGAGCCTTTGCAGGCACACCCCCCACCCCAATCTCTCTTTTCCAGGTGACAGGTGAAAAGGGACATTGGCAATGCTGGTGGATTCCTCTGAGGTTTCCTGCCTCCAAGATAACTATCACCTCTAAGGCCACAGCCATCGAGAGTCCAATCCTGTCATCTTTGAATCTGAAAGTCAGCTATGGCTCTCAGCTCTCCACACTGCTCCAGTTCTGGGAATGTTTGTCCACTATTTGGTTAGAGAGACACTGGGTTCTTGGCGCCCTCCCCGCATGTTCTCACTAATCCCAGCCAGGCTAGGCTTTGCTATGTCCATGACACAAAGGTAGTGTAGTGGTTTCCAGGAAGCTTTGCCCCTAAGGCAGTCTACCTCCCAGCTCTGTTGGTCTGAGTCCAGGGAACCTTAGGAAGCTTAACCTTACATCATCTATAAATATCTGTCACTCCAACAGATCAGCCTGGGACTGGTGATCCTTGCACAGACCTGCTGGAGATGAGGGAGGAGATGCTGTCACGCAGGCCACTTGTGCAGTGTTTCCTATACAAGGTGCCTTGCTTGTGCCCCAGGGCCTTCCTCCCCACCCTCACAGGCATCATCCACCATCCTCCTCCATATGCAAGCATCATCAGTTTCCCAGAGATCACTTCCATCTTCTCTCAGTTGCCTCCCCTCTTCATGTGGCTTGGAGCCACCAGGAGCCACCTGCTTATAATATCAGTGGGGCCCAAGAATCTCATAATATGCTCCAATGCAGTTTATCTGTGTCTCTCCTGCCCACTAGGTCCCCACAGCTGCTTATGAAATAATCACTCAGAGGCTAATATTAAGTGTATTGTTTATTATTAATTTGTTTGGCCAGTGTCTCAGGCTTATCACTGGCTATATCTCTCTTATAAATTAACCTGTTTTTAACAATCTGTGTATCACCACATGGCCATGGCTTACTGGTAATGTTCTGGTATCTTACCCCTTGGGCAGATACATGGCATCTCCCTGATTCACACTTCTTTCTTTCTCTGTCTCTGTGTAGATTTTCCACTAACTATACTCTGATTGGCCAATGGCCAAATCAGCTTTATTTATCAACCAATAAAAGCAATACATATTTACAACATACAGAAGGACATCCCATATCACTCCAACTCACCTCGGCTGGGCAACTTCCAATCACCTCTCCAGGACCTTATCCTGGTAACTTCCGTATTCTCACACAAGCACCCCACTCATGCCAAGGCTGCATGCTGGTCTCTTACTCCATGCTTCAAACCTTACTCACTCCCAAGGCACTGGGGCAGTCCCTCCCCCACACTTCAGGAAGGCCTCAATGACCGGGTAGAAATTCTGTGCCAGTCATGCATTGCTTAGTCACACGAGGTCATGTCCATGATTTTCTTTTTACATGTTTACCCACCCACCCCCACATAGATGGCAGGCACGTGCTTCTGTAATGAGAGTCTGTCATTTAGTAGATACTCAATAAAGACTGCCTGGCTAGACAGGTGGATAGTTATGGGTCTTAGATGGATTGGGAATATCTGATGGTTGTTACAGAGTACCCTCAGACTCCTAGCATTCTGGAGAGACAAGGAGGCTGGTGTGGGGCTGGCAGAGCCTGGATGACATTCCTTCTACAGTGCCAAGCTTCTACCTTCTCACAAACTCAATGTGCTCCCTGTTATTCTTTTGTTTAAAAGGAAGAGAAATGCTGAGACATGAGACATAAGATTATAAGTTTATTATAAGGCCCGGCAGAATAGGGAGACTAAGAAGAGGATCAGGGGTAAATGGCTGACCGCCATGGCAGGTAGCCATAGAGAGACAGAGCAAGCGCATAGGTGGGAGACAGAGTAGAGAGAAAGGAAGCTGAGAGGAAACAGAGCGGGGAAACAGAGAGAGGAAACAAGAGAGCATAAATGGGCAGGGACCTGTCTTTTAAAGGGTCCTCTGTATCTGCGTGCAGACTTAGTTCCCATGGAACCTTGGACTGACCAGGGTATTGCCTGTTCCACCAGGTAACAGGGGCAGGCCAGGATAATGCCTGAACCTTTTACTCCCCACAGCGGTTCTCAGGTTAAGTGACAAAATTGGAAGCCAGACCCTGATTCCAGCAGTGGCTCCAGCTTTGCCAAAGGTGGGACCTTTGTGGGTCCGTTAACTTCCCAGCACCTAGTTTCACAATCTGCCTTTAAGTCACTTTAACTATCTTCTGCCTCATCCAGTCGTGAAGAATTAATAAGGAAAAGGCAGGTGAAGTAGAAACTGTTTCCATTCACACTTCTCCCCACCTCTGCCCTCACTCCACGTGGGGCGTTTTGGACTTTGGGTTCGGGCAGCATCATAGCAGAAAGGCTGGGTTTACGCCATGTCTCTACCGCTCAGTGATGGGGAGCACAGCCTCCTTTGAGTCTGCTTGTTTAACTTTATGAGACGTCATGCCTGTGGTGTGGGGGTAAGAGGGAATGAGGTATGGCTTATTAAATCTGGAGAACAGTGCTTGTTGTGTATGTTTGGGATTGGAGGACACTTTGATATATTCTCATTCTCTTTCATTTAAACCCTCCTTTTCTTCCAGGTAGGGTGCCCGGACTGATGCAGCCACAACTGGAGGAAATAGACACTGCAAGGATTCAGTGTAGTGTCTGGAGCTGAGGTTGGTGGAGGATTGCTGCCCTCTGCTGGAATGAATAGGCATGACATCTTTGCCTGCTCTCTGGTGCCACCTGATGGTAGAAGAGATTAGTGACAAAGAGCGGCTCAGCAGAGCCTGATCTCGGAGGGGCGTGGGGGGGAGGGAGAGTGCACACTTTATTACACACAGTACTGCAACGACTCTTCTTTTACATGGTTCTTTGAATATTTGATTATTTCCCTAGTAATAAATCATAGAAGTGCAATTGTCTACCTTACTGGTAAAGCTATTTTATAGCTCTCTCTCTGTCTGTGTATCTCTGTCTCTCTGTCTCTCTGTCTGTCTCTCTGTCTCTGTCTCTGTCTCTCTCTCTGTCTCTGTGAGAGAGAGAGAGAGAGAGAGAGAGAGAGAGAGAGAGAGAGGGGTCTCAGAAAGAAAGTACCAGTTAGGAGCTGCATCTTCTCACTTCATCTTCATCAGTGCTGAATGATGTCTTGGTTTCATTTTCACTGCTTGATAAAAGATCCCGACCAAAAGGCAAGAGAGATGGGGTTTACTGGCTTATGATTCCAGGTCACAGTACATAATTGCAGAGAAATCAAGGCAAGCACTTAAGCAGAGAGAGCTGAGTGTACCTGTGATGTCTGCTTGCTAGGTTGTTCTCACGCTGCTAGTGCTCTTCATCCTTAGGCAGTTCAGGGCTCAGCCCACAGAATGGTGCCACCCACAACAGGCAGGGTGCTACATCAATTAACAATGAAAACAATCCCCCACAGACATGCCCATTGGCTAGTGTGATCTAGAAAATTCTTCAACTGAGACTTTCCCAAGGTGATTCTTGGTTGTGTGAAGCTGACAGTTAAAACACAACACAGATGGTGTGTTTATGGGATATTGTCGAATATAGCCATACAGGCTTCCTGTTCCTCGTCATATAATGTTCCACGGTGTGTATGTATTCCATGCTTTCCTTCCTTGTGCTACCATTGGTCTGTGTTTGCATTATTTCCAAGTTCGGAGCTGTTATAAATAACACTGCCACGAATGTTTTTGTACCAATTGAGAACACGTTTGTGCTAGTCATGAGTGAACAAATGTTAGCAGTTGTCTGGTCTGCTCCTAGAAGTGGGATTGCTTCACTGTGGTGTATGTAAAAGTAATCTTCTAGTAGCTAGTGCTGAACAGTTTTCCAGAGCAGTTGTGTCAATTTACAATCCCTCCAGCAGTACAAGCAGTAGAAGCTATGCCCTTGCCAACACTTACTTAGCCATACCTGTATGGGTAAAGCTTGGATTTCCTTTTCCATGTTTTGTGAGGCTGGGGATATTTTTGTAGTTTTATTGATCATTTGTGTGTCCCATATTGTTAGGGTATCTTACTTTTGAACCACCTGATTTGGAAGGAGTCTTTCCATGTTTGAGATTTGCGTCCACACATCCATCAATTGCTCATCACTTTTTGTCTTTCTTTGTACTCTTTCGTGGACTTGATGGCATCCCTGAGATTGTGGCATCTTCTTTTTTATTTAGAGAATACTTTATTAGTTTTTGTAATCAAAACCTTGTAGATAAAACCTTACATATTTAATACAGTGTGTTACCCCTGTACATTTAAATGGGAAAAAATTAAGTTCAACATTTCTAGACCAATATGGCAGTTAATTTCTGTACAATGCCAACTCAACACGGGAAACTGGGATACTTTTTTCCAAAGTTGACAGCACAGCTTCTAATGCATGGGTTTTTCTCTCATGAGTCACTTTTTATAACCTGATCAAGAACTCTCTGTCTCCTCTGCAAACTTATTTTCTTAGACAACACTCAGAATTTTAATCTTCCCATTTTTTTGTGTTTATCTATAGTTGGCTTTTGTACATTATGTGTAGTAGAAAGACAACATGTGTTTTTACCAATATGGATGCACAACTGACCCAGAACGAATTATTGATGTGACTGGATTCCCTCCAGTTGCATTGTCAAGCCATGCCACACAAAGGAATGCTATACAGTGGTGAGGTGAGCACAGATGACTAAAAACTGTATCCAGAAATATGGATGCTGCTCGCTAGCATGATGATACATAGAAGGAGGCATTGCAAATATGGTGGTAGGTGATTTCTTGGGTCATGAAGGGGACATGCTTGCACGTCGAGGACTGTGGGTGGACTCTCTGTCCCATTGCTCATTTGCCTCTTGCACAGATAAACGATATCTTAGTCACTACAACTTTGATCCAGACCTCTGCACCTGGCAGTCTTAGGCCCTCAGCTTGGCTCAGTGCTTCTGGACTTCCCTCTAAGTTTTAGCTTTGGATAATTAACTATTACACCAGTCCCTGCTGTGGTCTGACTGAGATGGCTCTTGTCTGGTTTTGGTCTTCCAAATTAATTTTGTTCTGTCAAGATTAAAACATATCCCCTTGGAGTTTTGGCTAGGATTTTATTAATCCCATAATTTCATTCGTGGCATGTTGAATCCTTTCTATTATTATTTTTATTTCATGGCTGTGAATATTGATTTCCCTGCCAGACTTTCAGAGAAGTTCCATGTCACCACAACCTTTCATTTTCTACATTGTTCTCTGGGTTTCCGAGGCAGATAGTACTGAATAAGTCTTTCTTAAATATATCTCAAACTCTTGACAGACAGCTTTGTAATTTTTTTCCTCCTCAGCTGTTCTGTGCTCACCTCTACTCGGTGGAACTCCTGACAGAGTGTAATCTTATACAGGCATGGGCCCACACTTCCTGTTGCCTCACCTGGCAAGGGCTTGGTTCTCTTCCTGTTTCCAGGGAATCTTTCTGTCCAGATAAAGCAACAAATGCAAACCCAACAGCATCAGATGCTTTTCCCATCACTGTGACAAAAGCAACTTAAGTGTGGAGGGTCTACTTTGGCTCACAGTTCAAGGGCATCATGGAGGGACAGCGGGGGGGGGGGGTGATTTGATTTTGAGGGCCCTGCCTCCTAAGTTGCTCCTAGAAGGAGTAGGCTGCTGGTTAAAACCAAGCTCAGCTGTCTCTCGTTCATGTGTGTGTGCCCTTCTGTGACCCAGTATGGAGGCCCTCACCAGGCTTCACATCAGCCACAACATCAAGCCAAATTTCTATTGTTTATAAACTATGTGGCCTGTGATGCTCTTTTGTAGCAACAGAAAATGGACTGAGAGCACCAAGGGGGAAGCTGGTCCTACTTAGATGCTGTAAGAGCCTGGGCAGAGAGCACTGGAAACAGACATGGAAATTTGAAGCTATCTTAGAGGTGATGAGCTGCATTGATGGGTATTCATCAGTGGAAGGAATCTTGAGTTTCTGGGTGTAGGTCATGAGATGTCACCAGCCAAACCCCCAACCACCCCCCCCCATCCCTGGACTGAAAAGATCAACTATTCCGAGAGCATCCCAGGAGCAAGCTTTGTTTGGCAGCTGGCAGGGAAAGCACCACACAACACCACTTCCTTTTCTTCTACGGTTTAGCTGCGGATGCTCACATGGGGTTTCGGTTTCATTTTGCAGGAGTTTCTTCTGTTCCCTGTCCATCTGTGTATTTACCACCACTCCTCTGGGATGTAATTTCAGAAAATCAAACCCGACCTCAAAGTGTCCCTCCAAGCCTCTGTTCTGAAATCCGATGGTTTGGTCAGACTGGATTGGGAAGGAATCTTGAATCATTCAGTGTGAACTGCTTGCATTGTAGATGGGGAGGCCTGGTCTAAGCGAGGATGGATTATTTGTTGGTCACTTACGGAATCATGGGCACTAGCTGGGAATGGTGCAATGTGGAAGATAAGGAGGGTCTGTGCCAGCTACCAGGCAGGGCTGAGCTCTGTTGCTTACTAGTATGGCGCTCTGTGGATGCTTTGTTGTACAAGCATTCTTACTTACAAAGATGGGTGGTAAGAAAAAATAATTCAGTGATGCCACATCTGAACACTCATTGGGTATTGGTGACAATAAGAATAAAGAGGCTGTTGACAGCAGTAATGATGATGACAGTGATGGTGATGGTGGTAGCATGTACCTGTAACCACAGTCTTAGGATGTGGGAATAGAAAGGAATGAATCCTTGAAAGTCACTGGCCAGTCTGACTGAATCAATGAGTCCCACCCAGGCTAAGTGAGAGGCCCTGTCCCAAAAATTAAGGTGGACAACAATCAAGGATGATGATGCCTGAAGTTGACTGTGAGCCTCTGAGTGCACACACACATAGGGGCACATTCATCAGGATGCACCTTAGTAGGCTAAACTTTCTGACACCAATTATTTTACACACACACACACACACACACACACACACACACACACACACACACACCTGACTTCATTTTATCCTTATTAGAATGCTCTAACTTCCACATATATCCATTGACTTGCATGTAAAATAAAGAAGCCATCTCTGCCATGCATTACTTTTTAAATGACGGTAATGCATGTAGTTAAAGTACATAGCAAAATGCTTGGCTCAGGGACCAGGGCACAGTCAGCTTTCTCTCTCTGAATCCAAACCTCCCTTTCGTCCTCTTCTTTCCTTCTCAGCTGCCTCTTTCCTCTTCTCTATTGGCAATCTTTGTTTTATTAAATGATTGTAAGTTTCAGTCTCACGGGAAAACTGATGAAAGGCACAGTGACTTCCAGCACACCCCTCTTTCCCTATATGCATGTCCCCTCCCTGACATTGACACCAGTCAGGGCTTTGTCACATTGTTATCACCCAGAGGGTACTGTGTGGTTGGGGCTCTTTCTTGTTTTCTGTGGTTTGTGTAAAGGTCTAATGTACTACAATGTAACTACCATAGAACCATACTGAGTAGTTTGACTGACCTAAAACCCATGTTTTCAAGACCTAATCCATGGCAACTACTCATCTTCTTGCTGTCTACATAGTTTTCCTTTTCCAGAAATGTCAGAAAGCTGAAGTGATCCAGTCTCTGAGTTTTAGCTTCTTCACATTGTCTTCTTCCACTTAGGGATGTATGTGTGACTTCTAGTCACTGTTTTCCTGCCCTGGTAGTTGATCTACTT